TATGTGATCAATTTGGACTGTTTGTATCTCAGTATATTTGGTGGGCAGGGCTTATGAGAGGGGCCGTCTCTATTGCTTTGGCTTTTAAACAGGTGTGTCTTATTCATTGAGAAAAAAATACAGATGACAAACGCAATCAATATATATATATATCTTCGTAGTTAATTACTTCATCCCTGGAAATGTTCATGTTTATTCATTTGGCATTGCTTGGTACCGTTGAAGTTCACACATTCTGGTGTCACATGGAGTTCAACAAATGCTGCGGTTCTCACGAACACCATAATTGTTGTCCTATTCACTACACTGGTATGTGGTTTCAGCGTGCATCCCAAATGATTTTAATCATATGACATTACATGAAAACTTGTATAACGGATTTTGATTACCAGGTATTTGGTTACTACACTGGTATGTAGTTTCAGCATGCATCCCAAATGATTTTAATTTAACACGACGTTACATGAAAACTTGTATAACGGATTTTGATTACCAGGTATTTGGTTTTCTAACGAAGCCTCTTATAAGTTGTTTGGTTCCTCTCCATGGAACAAGTGGCAACGCTCACCAGGAGCCAAAATCTCCCAAGTTGGACATCATTTTTCCTCTTCTCTCCGGAGAGGGACAATCGGACGCTGATGTTCTTACTGCAAAGAATAGCTTGACTATGCTAATGGAAAGACCGGTATACACCATACATTTCTACTGGAGGAAGTTTGATGATACATATATGAGGCCTATATTTGGTGGTCCGCACACCAACAGCTTGGAATGTTAGGTAAACAACTCTTATCTATGAGTTACTCGCGGAAGGTTAAAAGAAAATTAGTATTGTCGATTATCTATGCTTGAGATGAACATAGTGGCTTATTGGCCCATTTGTTATGTGCTTAGGAGTAGGATGCAGAAAAGATATTTTAAAATGTAAGATCAGCTTAACAAATTTAACTAATACAACTTAATATATATGGATATATGTATATGGAAAACATCTTCAGATGGAAGAGTGAGGGAGGAGGACAAGGAGGATCGATGGCGTTGAAAGAAATCTCGTAATGGTTGTAGCGTTCTCCGTTGAAGCTGGTGGCAACATAATGAAATGCTTAGGCACTTCAAATGTTTATGATGCTCGAGTTTTTCTGAAACTGAGGGAAGGTAGAATTACAATGTTAATGGTTTCTGGGATTTTATCCAGTTCTGAAGATATTCGTGTTGTGGGATGAGAAGGAACTTGTCTGTCTGTGCAATGGAAACTATTGAGTGAAGAAAATTATGTATGTATAGATTCAGTTGATACAGGGTAGAATATAATTAGTAGATAGAAGTGCCGATTGCTTTGTGCACCAAATTAAATAGTTAAAAAAATAATGTTGTGAAGACACTGCTTCTATCCTCATTGTTATTTGTAAGGAAATAATTTTAGTCTTTAGCTTAAATGTTAGAACATAAATAGTTAATTGGGTTATTTTTAATCAGTTTGAATTTTATAAATAATCGAGTCAATTAATTATTTAAAAACTTAAATGTTAAAGTATATTTACATATTGTATGAAAAATGAATATTTGAGGATGAATTGTATTAGAATATAATTAATAAATTTAATCAACATACTTTCTCAGTATTAACTTTTGCTATAATTAGTTACATTTTATTATTTAACAATGAAGAAAATAGACCTTAATGGCGGCCAAGCCGTGTGCCATGTTAACACCAAATGCAGGAAACCAAGACTTACACCCACAAAGACATTTCAGGTCAGACTGCCTCATAACATTGCAGCATTGTGTCCTTGGTGATGGCGGAGAAAACCCGGACATGGAAGGTTTGCAAACGGCCAATTTATTTACGTTCATGTTACATAAGTTATAAATGCAAAGACTAGTTATTAGTGTTTGTCATGTTAATACCAAAAAGACATTTCAGGTCAGAATGTCTCATAACATTGCAGCATTGTGTTCTTGGTGGTGGCGGAGAAAACCCGGACATGAAAGGTTTGCAAACGGCCAATTTACTTACGTTCATGTTACATAAGTTATAAATGCAAAGACTAGTTATTAGTGTTTGTCATGTTAACACCAAAAAAACATTTCAAGTCAGACTGCCCATAACATTGAAGCATTGTGTCCTTGGTGGTGGCGGAGAAAACCCGGACATGGAAGGTTTGCAAACGGCCAATTTACTTACGTTCATGTTACATAAGTTATAAATGCAAACACTAGTTATTAGTATTTGTCATGTTAATACTAAATGAAGGAAACGGAAACTTATAACCGCAAAGATTCGTTAGGTTGGTCTCTTGCGTGACATGGCAACATATTTTGCTTCGTAGTTGTGGAGGGCTGCCAATCACTGCCCTTCGGCAAAAGATCAACTTGTTTAAGTTTGTGTTACACAAGTTCCTTGCATTCGTTGAACTCACCATGTCTACGGCTAGCAACATCACACGAGCATCACCAAACAAATACTGCTAGTTCTCGCCATATTTGTGCTAGCTCGAACAAAACACAATAATTTTTAATAAGAAATTCGTAATAAATAAATGTGACTATAAGAAGAATGTGTACATTTGAAACTAAAGAAAGAGTCCGAACATTTGATGAAATAAATACCTTAGATCCGTTAATTGTTAAAACAGAAGCCAACATCGTTCATTTGAAGTAAGATGTTCCAAAATAAGTATATTGAGATAGTACTTTTAGATAGAAGTCAATTGTAATTTTTTATTATTTTTACGTAATTCACAAAAAAAAATTTAATAATAAATAAAATGAACTTGTTCATATGTAAGTTTTTAATTTATAAATTAATAAATATCAATCTTAAATTCAGCTTGTTTAATTAAGCCATACATTTTTTGAAGTTAGGAATTATGATCTAGTTTGATGTTGATGGAATTCTAATTATAATTTGATCACTAGTATTTAACATTGTGTTGAAATGCCAATATCATACTTATTTTGGGTTGCTTGGAGATTGTGTTTTACTTATATATATATATATATATATGTATGAGCAAATATATGTTATATATCAAGAAACATATCTTTGTCAATGGTCTTTTTGATGTATATAAACCACTTGTTTTCTTAGAAATGTAGAAATATCTTGCAAGAAATTTTGAGATGGTTAAAAAAAAAAAAAAAAGACCTTGGCAGTAAAGATCTAAAGATCTTTTCCATATTTTTTAAATAAAAATTAGATTAGATATTAATTTATTGCGATTAAGATAAATCAACTGCTAATCGAAATAGGTTGAAATAGAATCTAACTTGTTTATCATAACTTCGTTAAATACATTATTTGATTAAGTATTATACAAAGTACCGAACCCTACACGACAGTTTGAATTCATAAACTGTAAATAAAGTGCTAACATCTTAACTATTAGATTAAGGTATTAATTTTGTGTTCCTTTTCTGAATGTTGTTTGGATAAAGGGTTCCATTATATTCTCATTGGTTGTGCTTTGTTAGATACATATGTAGAAATATCTTGCATGAAATTTATATATACATACAAAACTGCCTTATATTTATCTTTCTTTTTTAGTTCTTGGGATAGAAGTGTTCCAGTCTTATTGATTAATTCTCGTATAAATTTTATTGAAGCCCCTCCAACACAAGTACAATATGGAAATTGCTCATATATGTGGCGTGTGTGTGTGTGTGTGTGTATATATATGCGCTTATGATCTTCATATTGCAGCTGATTATCCCCACCTGTTATTTCTTTGTTTTAAAAGCAGGGATGGAGAAAGTTGGCAGGAAATATCATATTATGAATTCAAATATTATGAGATTCATTAATACATAAAGCTGAAAATTTAATGAACAGTTTTAATTATATAAGAAGCTGATATCAAAAGCTTCCGAACATGGAAGACCAGAAGAAGAAGAAGAACAAGAAGATGCCTTCAAATGATGTTGCCCTGTTTTCTCTTCAAGCTGCAAAGCAACAAGATGAAAATTAATACTTTTAGGTAGTTGGTCTTGATCTATAAACAATGTTTTAAAAATCTCAAATTAAATTTTACTTGTGGGTTAATTTCCAGTTACTTAATATATAGATTTTAGTATAGTGTATATACCTATAAAATTATTAAAGTTCTAGTTTATTGAATCTAATTATAATACAACAGAAAATAAGTTAAACAAAAAACCGTAATTCGATTAGAGTTCCTTAACTAGTCACGTATTACCTTTGCACTGTGGTGGTGTCTTGATGCCACATTTAGCGGGCAATGCAAAGGCGTTTGTCGGGTTAATCCCGAAGGCCGGGAGAACAGACTTGTAGCTACAAAGACATGGCAGGTCAGCTTTCCTCACAACTCTGCAGCATTGTCTGGTTGGCGGTGGTGGTGACTCCCCGGTGACCGCAGCCCGACAAAGATCCAGCTTGTTTGGGTCTATGCTGCACAAGCCAGTGGCTCCCCTGGCTGCACCCATCAGTGCCATGACCAGCACCAGTGCCGTGACCACCCACCAAACCAAAACCTTGCTGCTTGTGATCCCGGCCATGCTTGCTCTGTCCTTTATCTGCTATTATAAGTATATGAATGTTGAGAATTTATAGGCAGAGCTTGAAAAGCGAGAATATTCTCTCTCTCATGGATTTAGGTAAAGGCCATGTGAATACATGTCTGTAGGAGAGTCACGGGAGGTAAATTGAAGAAGAATGTTTACAAGAGAAATTAATAAAAATTAATGGTGGGTTCAGATTATAAGAATCTGGTTTTGATTTTGGTAACCACAAGTAGATTAAGTTAATATTAATTAATAATTGTGGATCAACTGTTCGTTGTCTTTACTTTGAAATTCATGGGTCACGGGGGTTCTTAAGAAATTTTCAAGCTTCATATGAATTGACTTTATTTTGATGGGTAGAAAGTTCAACTTTTCACGTCTTTTTCTTTATCCTAATTTAATCATTTAGTAAGAAAATTGAAGTTAGAGATATAATTTAATTAATTACATATATTTTCTGTATTGAAATTCAAGAATATAATAAAAAGAAAATAGGTTTAAAACAAGGGTGGTGGCTGAAGTGGAATGATCTTAAGGCCAAGCACTTGTGGAGCAGAGGGCTTATGTAGTCTTGGCTGGTGGGAACTGAAGCAGATGAAGGAGAAGACCAGGAAGGGACGATTGCAGAGGAAGAGAGAGTCCGGGAAGAAGAAGAACAAAAATTTCTAACAATATTAATTTTTTATTTTTAAGAAATTAAGAGAAATTGAGAGAATGTTATATAAGTTTACAACACGTATTAATATAAAATACCAATTAAACAATTACATAGTTAAAATTAACGGGATCAAATAGAGATGAAACAGTTATTCTTTTTCCGTTACCTAAATAATAAACTTAAAAAAAAAAATTCAAATGTTCATGTTTCATTTAAAGACAACATTACTAGGTGACTTATTTAAAAAAAAATTTACATTGTAAATCAGGTTCGGAGCTATTTTAGAATTACCAGGTCTTCGAGTGACTAATTTAAATAATTGAACCTTCTCATATTAGATGACACTCGTAATACTTCTCAAAAATCAATAAGAATAGAAGAGATTAGCAATGATAAGAACGTAATTAAATGTAACTTAATCCTAAAACTATACCCATTTAAGATCTTCATCCCACCACTTCATACACCCAAATCCATAAAATATAATGTATTTACCTTAATTATTGAATACTTAAAGCTAAAATTTAATCATTTTGGGGAATCACCTTTCAAATACCAACAAAGCCAAGATGCTGTCAAATGGCAGCAAATTCAAGTGAGTAAATGTTTGTTTTCACAACCCAATTTGTAGCTCACACGGGTTTCGATTCAATTTGCAGTCCTTTAAACAAAAAATTTCTGATAACGTTTCTCATTTATTTTTTTTGCAGATGATACCTTAATTTTTTGTCAACCCGAAGTGAGGATCCGTTTGAACTTGAGATGTGTGTTGTTATGCTTCCAAATGATCTTTGAATTGAAAATTAATTTGAAAAAAGTCTGAATTGGTGAGAATTAGAGGAAATGGTAATATAGGTTTGTCAGCTTAAGTGTTGGGGTGTAAAAATGTCAAACTTCCCATTAAATACTTCGGGATTCCTCTTTGGCCAAAATACAAAGACTTAGCCTCATGGGAACCAGTAGTGGATCTGTTTGAGAAGAGGCTTGCAGGGGAGAAACGAAATTTCTTTTCAAAAGGGGTAGATTCACACTTATTAAGAACACACTAGCTAATCTCCCGATTTATTACCTCTCTACCCTTATAATTCCTGGAAAAATTGTAAAGAGATTGGAAGTCATTCAATACCGCTTTCTTTCTGTGAGATGATGAGGAGGGGAAAACGTAAGTTTCATTTAATTAATTGGGAGACTATCAAAACTCCACTACCATATGGTGCACTAGGTCTTAGATCAATGATGATGATAAACGAAGCGCTTCAAGGGAAATGACTCTGGAGGTATTGCAATGAGGAGAGAAGATCTTGGCAAAAAATTGTGGATTTCCGGTAGGGCATATTGAGATTGGATAATGGTCGTATCAAACATTCTTCTTCCCATGGTTGTAAGTCCTTGGAAGAAGATAATAGCACAATGGCCACAGTTCAAAGAGTGCATCAAATGGAAACTGGAGAAATGTGATAAAATCAGCTTTTAGTATGATGACTAAATGGGTGAAGGATGTCTCATGAGTAGGTACCCGAGGATTTATGGCATACTAAGAGCTAGAAACATGTTGATGGAGGCGGCCCACCAGTTGACTAATGATAACATTGTATGGTCAATTAATGTATCAAGGAATCTAAATGACTGAGAGGTGAGAGATTATGAAGATATGCTAAAGTTCTTAGCATCCTAAAGAGTCAACAATTTGTTAGATTAGATCTGTTGTCAACTTGAAAAGAACAAATGCTTCACCGATCGTTCTTACTACAAATTTTTAGTTGAGGGGGGCTGCAAAAGAGTCTCAGAACTTTCCATGGAAACAAATCTGGAAGACAAAGGTTCCCCCATGAGTAGCTTTTTTTTTTTTTTTTTTTTTTTTTGTGTGGGGGGCTTGTTGGGGGAAAATTCTCACTATAGACAAACTTAGAGCAAGAGGACTAATCATTGTAAATGGTTGTCATCTATGTATCATCTTCTGTTGTGGTGTCCTATCGCATACAGCCTTAGTTCGTGATGAGATTTGGACGGAGGATGACTTGAGCTGTAAGAGATGTATTGCTAATCAAATTCCATTGGCTGTTTTTTTTTTGGATTATTTGGAAAGAGAGAAATGCTAGAGCCTTTTGTTGGAAGAGAATGTAATTTAAAAAGGTTAAAAGGATAGATGGATTCACTTGTATATGGTTGGTACCCATTAAATATACTAGTTATACTTTTTATTTCAAAAAAGAAATTCCTAATAACTTTCTAAAATTTCACAATTAAAATGCTAAAAGATTCGTAAATTAGTGTCAAATGTTACAGAATTGACTTAGAACAATTCCTGAGACATTCTACAATTCTCCATTCCAAGCCTACTCAAAGTGTGAGAACAGTGCAATTAAGTTACTACTTTATGTAAGAAAAATCAAGCAAAAACGAATGATTTAAGCCAATCAAATGTGAATCCAATAACATGTTAATCAATTAGTATCACATCAAAAAAGCATCAAATTAAACTAGCAATTCTCTCCCAAATCTCCAATTTCCTATTGAACACTCAAGATGGAATTTTTTTTTTTTTTTTTCTTTTTTCAGTACCTCCTACCGGCTCCACCTGCACCGCGGTTTACCCCCATTGGTTGAACCGGAAAGGACACTGGATCCACCTTAACCAGTCCAGGAACATCGGCCATGCCGAGAGCCGCAAGCATGTCCATTGTTTCCTTATCCACCTCGATGTATTCGGTTTTAATGGCGGACTCATCGGGAACGAAGTCCATGCGGCGCTCGCGCTCCTCCTCCTGGAGCTTAAGCGAGATTCCCCGGACAGAACCTTTCTGGATCCGTTTCATGAGGTGAGTGGAGAAGCCGGCGATCTTGTTGCGCAGCCGCTTTGAGGGGATGATAGCCACATCCTCGAGAATCTTCTTGTTGGTTTGGAAGTCAAGCGTCATGCGAGAGTAGTACTTCTCGATAACCTGCCGAGAGGATTTCTTCACCGTCTTTGTACGAACACGACCCATCGTTGCTGTTGCCGACGGAGCCTGTGCGCCCGTTCGGAGAGGAGCTTGTTCGCAGAATTGAACTAGGGTTTAGGATTAGGGTTATATATCGGAGTAAAATGAGGAGTAAAGCTAGCTCTTTTGTTAATTTGTTGGGAATTGTGGGCTTTTTTGTCATTTAAAATATTTATGAGGCCACTATTGTAAATTTACTTTTTTTAATTCTCCGCAAGGCCCGTGCCTAAAAACAATGTGTCATGTTGAATTTATTTGTAACAAAATTTTATACTTTTGACTTTTATTTCATATGTGAAATTTTAATTGCCAATCAATTCTTTTTGAAACGAAAATTAAATTGAAAATTTGCTCATAAAAAGTTTATTTTATTTAATTAATCAATTTTTTTTTGGATTCAACGTGATAAAAAAACAAAATATGACATTACATTATCCAAAAATATAATTCAAATTTTGTTTTAAAAAATATATAAATTTACAATAAATTACATAAAATCTCAAAAAAATTATATAATTAAATTGACTATTTATAAATTATATGTATATCTTAATACAAACTTTTTTAGTCTTTTTATTTTTAATAAATTTGATTAAAAAAAACTCTCACTTTCAATTCTGAAATTAAAAGAATTATTTAGATACATTATTTATTAAATTTTTTTAAAATATAATTTTTAACTTACTAAGAAAATGTCCCAAAAAGTTAACACACGGGCATGTGCCCATTCTTTTTGTCATTACCAATTGATGTTGTAATAAATATTAAATTATAAAATATAAATAGTTTCAGTAAATACATATTTATTATATATTTATATCACAAAGTTTTTTCTAGGTGTGGAAAGACAAATGTAGCATGCCAGCCACATGGGCACCACAGGAGCCGGTGACTGGTCATTCAGTATACTAATTTTTTTTTAATTTTTTTTTTTAAATTATATTATTAAAATTAGATAAAAATATTTATGTATTTTTATAGTAAATATTTGTATCTAACCAAATTTATATTTTTGTCATGTGCTATATTTATTATATTGCGATATAATAAACAAAAATGACAGTGAAATAATTATAAAAATATTACTTTTCGTAAAAAAAATTATTTATATTTATTAATTATTTCCCAAACATATTTTCATAAATAGAAATATTGTAAATAATTATGGGCGTCCAGATAATTTGGAAATATTCTTTTTTTTTTCTATTAATTATTTAAATATATATATATATACGGACAAAAAAGGGATTTACTTTTTAATTAATTAATATAAATAGAATACTTACCAAAAAAGTTAGAGATGTAGACATCATGGCTAATATCATGATTAGATAATATTTTTGAGTGTTAAAAAATTAAAATCAAAATAATTACTATTTTATTATTTTATGTGAAAAAGATCTATATTAAAATCAAATTTTATTATTATAAAAAAATTAATTATATTAGTTTATTATTATTATTATTATTATTAATGGGTAAGTGTTATTTAGTTATTTGAAAAAAATATAAATAGAAATAATTAGTACATTTGAAATTATTTAAGGGTCAAAATTACCATTTATATTATAATTAATATGGTCAAATTTCAATAACATGATTTTTTTAATTTGAAATCGCATTATGTAAATTATTATTATTATTTTTTTGAAAATTAATGATGTTAAGAGGAGAGCCGCCTCTAATTACAAGACATCAATTATGATTATTTATTATTACGGAATCATGAGACACCATTACAAAACGTATTTTATAATTCCGTATATATTCAATTATACCATAATTAGTCATAGCATTTTTTATAAAATCAATTAAATTCTATAGTAGATTAAATTCAACACGTCAAAATTAATTAATTTTATGTAATATTACACAAATTTAACTATCGAGCTGTGAATTATCAACTGTAAAAGTATATTAAAAACGTAATTTACGCGATAAATAATAAAAAAAATAGTGTTATAAATAAAAATTAATTTTGTTATAATATTGATGGTTGATTTTCTCTTAATTTACCGCCAGCAGTAATTTAGTAAAAAATATTTATTTTTTTATTAAAATGCGAAAACTTATATAAATAATATTATTTATTAATAAAATAAAATCAAAATAAGAAACCAGTTTCATGGCGGTTAAGGGGTAGGTTATCGTAGAAGCGAAACAAACAAACTATTCGCTCAATAGGTCAAACCTTCAACGGTCAACGCCATTTTGCTGACATTGCAAACGTTCGAGACGAGTTCCATAGACTTACCATAGACTCGCATGTAGTAGAACCACCATCAAATTCGCTTCCAGCCAGTGTGACCTTCGCTGTCATCGGTGTAAAAACGGTTTCATCTCTCTCTCTCTCTCTCTCTCCCCTCTTCTTTCTTTGTCACTTTGCTCTCCCACGAAGGAAAATCGATCCCTTGTTGTCCTAAACCCTCATTTCTCTCTGTATACATTCATTATATTAGAAAAAAGAACTATAATGGGTAGTCAAAATTTTCTGGGAAACTGATCGATACGCAACGATAATCTTGTTATTTTACAGGAAACTCTTTCTGGGTGCTCCATGTTTGTACGTTTCCATTATTGGGTTTCCATTTTTTTTCTTTAATGATTAAGTTGGTTGTTTTGGATTATTCATTATACAAAAGTTTACCTGTTTTAAACTGCTGCAGTTGCCTAGTTTGTCAATATTCTTTTTCTCACATTTCCTATATTTACTTTTTTGATCGGATATCTTGTTTGCATTTCTGGGTTCCGATTGGTTTTGCGTTTTTCAATCCATTTTTGACTTGTTTATGGAGTTCTTGTATTCATTGAAGAGTAATATTCAAGAGTTCCTCATTCATATATTTTTGTTCTCTGTTCTATCTGTTTCTGTGGCCTGATTTGAGTCATCTCGGTGGCTTTGTTTTTCAGGAATAGAGGATTGGATTTTTCTGACCTGCATAGGTGATTTGATCGTGGGTTACTGTCATTAGGATTAACGTAGGATCAGGGTTCAAGTTTTTTGGCCTGGAATTGGTTTTATGTTTCTGGGTTTGTAGATATCTTGTTGGATATTACCCTTGTTTTATTACTTCGAGAAGAGAGAAGAAATTTGAGGAGTAATTAGCGTTATTCGTATTGCTAATCTGTGGTGATGTCGAGTTATGTGGGCGTAGTTGTTTCGGATCAATGGCTTCAAAGCCAGTTTACCCAAGTTGAGCTTCGCAGCCTTAAAGCCAAAGTAAGGCTATTCCTTCCTTATCCTGTTTATGACGTAATGGATGTGAGAAAGTTAGCCACACGATACAGTTGTGACTGAAATTTCGTGGGTGGTAATTGATTGTTTGTATGGTTTTATGTTGTAGTTTATTTCGGTAAAGAATCAAAATGGTAAAGTCACAATCGGAGATTTGCCATCCATGATGGCAAAGTTGAAGGCATTTAGTACAACTCTCACCGAGGAGGAGATTAGGGACATCTTGAGTGAATCCAATGCTGACACAAGCAGTGAGGTCGATTTTGAAGCCTTCCTCAGGGTGAGTGATTTGTTTCTACATTTTTATGTAGTATATTTCTATCTGATGAGCAAGAATAATGGAATTGGAACCACCGGAATCTAATAGGGAAAGTACATTTTAGCTAGTTCCAATAAAATGTGACTTGGAAGCATTTAGTTTTGTTTGGTTGGTTTTGGTTTCCAGTTGTGTGTGACTTGGTAGCATTTAGTTTTGTTTGATCGGGTTTGGAGTGATAGACGTTGACCTGGTCATCAACTTTATGGAATGGGCAGACACATTTGAGTTTGCAAGGCAAAGCTACAGCTAAATCGGGTGGTTCAAAGAATTCTTCATCGTTCCTTAAGGCAACCACAACTACTCTTCTACACACAATCAGTGAATCAGAAAAATCAGCTTATGTTGCTCATATAAACAGTTATCTCGGGGATGACCCATTCTTAAAGCAGTTTCTTCCTTTAGATCCAGCTTCAAATGATCTATTTAATCTTGCAAAAGATGGGGTGCTTCTATGGTATTTATGCAAAAAAAATATGCTTTCTTAAGTTAGCGAGGCTGATATCCATTTGTGGTTTTAATTTTGACTTTGTGATCTGACACAGTAAGCTCATAAATGTTGCGGTTCCGGGAACAATTGATGAACGAGCTATTAACACCAAACGAGTACTTAATTTATGGGAAAGAAATGAGAACCATACTCTCTGCCTCAACTCGGCAAAGGCTATTGGCTGTACGGTAGTTAACATCGGTACACAGGACTTGGTTGAAGGAAGAGTAAGTTGTGCCAATTCTGATGTCATTGGCTAGATATTTGTATTCTACTATTCTAAAGATTTCTGTTTTCCTCCTTTGTTTTGCAGCCTCATTTGTTGCTTGGGTTGATTTCTCAAATTATAAAGGTAGGCCTTATGATCATACTTTGTTTAGAAGTCTATGAAAACCAACATGAAGCAATTATAAGCTGCTTATAAGCAACTCATATCCTTTATAACAGTCAAATGATTTCAAATAATTTGCCCATATTGCTGTTCGCTAACTTTTTAATCGTCACAATTTCAGATTCAGCTCTTAGCCAATCTCAACCTTAGGAAGACGCCTCAGCTTGTGGAACTGGTGGAGGACAATAATGTAACGAGATGCTTATTTTACCATGTTACCTGTTTGCTATAATCATTGTTCCGATAACATTCATTGAATGCGAAATACATGGTATTCTCATCATGCATTGTTGTGTTGCTGCAGGATGTTGAGGAACTTCTGGGATTGGCCCCCGAGAAAATCTTACTAAAATGGATGAATTTCCATCTTAAAAAGGCTGGCTATAAGAAACCTGTAACGAATTTCTCTTCTGATCTGAAGGTACTTGGCTGCTTTTTTTATGGACGACTTGTAGCATCATGTGATGTATAAGATATTCTTGCTCTAGTCCTGTTTTCCACCCTTGTTTCTCTTGAAATCAGGATATGAATCTTTTCAACCAGAAGCAATTACGACAGAATAGAGCCCATGCCGTTATACCTGTGTAGTTTTAGATGCTTTTATTGATGTCTACTGCTAATGCGCCTGCAGGATGGTGAGGCTTATGCTTACCTGCTCAATGTTCTTGCTCCAGAACACTGCAATCCTGCTACATTGGACAATAAGGATCCCACTGAAAGGGCTAAATTAGTACTTGATCATGCAGAAAGAATGAGTTGCAAACGATATTTGAGTCCAAAAGATATTGTTGAGGGCTCAGCAAATTTGAATCTTGCTTTTGTGGCACACATATTTCATGAAAGGTTAGAAATAATCAGAATAATAAGGCTCTGCCTTTGGTTTGATGAAAAATTACTTGAAAGTTGGATCTTTCTTTCTTCTTTGATTTTGTGGCATTTCTTTTTTCCCCCCTGATTAAATACATATATGTATTCTTGATAGAAGTTCAAATGATTTTTTTGTATGCATGTTCTGCATGCAGTCAATTGCATTGGAATGACTAATTTCTGGAAACAAGTTGCTATGTCATTTTTTTCCGTGCTATTAAATTTCAATTCGTTACAAATTTAAGTATCTCCTTTTAGGTGAACTACATTTCATGTCATTAGGTTGTAAGTTGATGAATGATGGTTATTGATCATCAATGTGTGAAGTTCTCATGTTTGGATGACTTTATTTTATTTTACAGTAATCAGAAAAATACCCCACAGTTGCAAGGGATAGTTGAAATAGGATGACAATATGAAGTCATCCCTCCCCTGAAAAGGAAAAGAAGGAATCCTTGGGTTTTGACTGACTGGTACAGTGGTGTATACTGCCAATTAGAAGAACATATGCAATTAGTTATAATTGGAAAAGCAATGTACATTATAAGGTTTAATTGCTTTCTGCTTGTAGATTCTGGCAAGCAAAGCCCACTTGTTTCTCTTTTACTAATCACAATTATTAGTTTTTCAATGATCTACGAGATGATGCCTACTCAGTTACTGTTCTTTTTTGCAGTTTCCCCCTTGTTTCCCTTCTATATTTTCTGTAGTTGTTTTGTTATTGAGAGGAACTTGTATCTGTACTCCTGCAGGAATGGCCTTTCTACAGATGGCAAGAAGGTTTCCTTTGCAGAGATGATGACAGATGATGTGCAAACTTGCAGACAAGAAAGATGTTTTCGACTGTGGATCAACAGTCTTGGAATTGTTAGTTATGTCAATAATGTGTTTGAAGATGTTAGGAATGGGTGAGTTCTCTTTTCTAATAATAATTGTCACACTGACTAATACTTAGTTCCATGCGAACCCCTTTTGACTGAATATCCAGTACTGGAGAAGAAGTTGAAACTATATGCATAGTATTTGTATACATTACAAAATGAAGTCATAAACCTTTTCCTTTTGAGCGTTTCATTTTGCTTTAATTATGAAATTGTACGGTGTTCAGAAATATATTAACTTACCACTCTTTTCTGCATTTTTTACTATATCTATAGTGTCCACTATCATAGACTGTGAATCTTTGACTTGAAGTAATTCTTAATCCCATATCTCATGCAGATGGGTACTTCTTGAAGTTCTTGACAAAGTTTACCCTGGTTCAGTAAACTGGAAGCAGGCATCAAAGCCACCAATTAAGATGCCATTTAGAAAAGTAGAGAACTGCAATCAAGTTATAATGATCGGGAAGGAGTTAAAATTTTCACTAGTCAATGTAGCGGGAAATGATATAGTACAAGGAAATAAGAAGCTCATACTTGGTAATTTTCCTTTGCCTCTAACTCTATCATTGCATTAGCCTCAATAAAGAAAAAGAAAAACAAATAACAGTTAGATGATGGTCTAAGACTCCTTTTTATTCTCTTTTCTTTTGTAGGGATTTCTATTGATTTCAACCTTTAGGAGAATGCTAATTTAATAATTACCCCCATTCAACCTGTCTCACATACAAATAAATATGTAAATTGTTCATCCCCTAGTGTCTAATGATCAATTAGAATTATTACACTTGAATTTTACCAAGCAAATTCCACTGTTCTTGATCATTCCTTGTCTATTAAAGACTAAATAATCTTTTCCTTTTCTGTTTTCCGTGAATAAATCTTCAGACTTGTTCCTTGACTTTAACGTTCTGTTGTGAAAAGTTTTCTAATTTTTTAGTTTTGATTCCATCTGTTTCAGCTTTTCTATGGCAGTTGATGAGGTTTAATATGCTTCAGCTACTGAAGAACCTGAGATCCCACTTGCAACAGAAAGAGATGACAGACAGAGATATTCTGAATTGGGCGAATAAGAAAGTTAAAAGTTCGGGCAGAAAGTCTCACATGGACAGCTTCAAGGTTCGGAAAACTTAGTAATTCTTGTTATCATGAATGTTGACATCTAAAGCCAATTGTATCTTAACATTGTTTATTCTGAAATCCTTTAGGACAAGAGTCTGTCGAATGGATTATTCTTTCTTGAGCTTTTAAGTGCAGTAGAACCGAGGGTCGTCAATTGGAACCTTGTTACCAAGGGTGAAAGTGGTATGATATTTTGAAGTTGATGTTTACTAATTCATTTTGCTTCTCACTCTATCATCTTATTGTTTTCTTTGTGCACTTGCATTTAATCTCTATTCCATGGTACTGATAGAGAAACAAGCTCACCATCTCTCGTGGTGTAATTGCAGACGATGAGAAGAGGTTGAATGCTACTTACATAATCAGTGTGGCACGGAAGCTTGGTTGTTCGATTTTCTTGTTGCCCGATGACATCATTGAGGTACATTACTCTTTTTGTTACTCACCTCAGAAAAAAGATGTTCCATGATCCAAACTGACATGGTTGCCTTTTCCTCCAAAAGAATTGGGAGATTACCTTGGTTCTCAAAAACCAACTGTACCTGTAGATGTATTTATATATATATTTTTGTTATATATATGTAGTTGATAGAGGAAGAGAGAGAGAGAGATATTTATGTAGAACTATAAATTTAATCATGCATTGAATATGATATATCACATAACTGGACAAAATTTTTTACTCTGATCCGGCAGGTGAACCAGAAGATGGTTCTCACTCTAACAGCCAGCATAATGTACTGGAGCCTTCAACAACCAGTGGAAGAGGGAGACTCATCTCCCTCACTTCATAATGGTGCCTATACTCCTGATGCCTCTCCAGCACCATCCTTTAGTGGTGAAGACGAAAGCTCTTCTCTTGGTGGTGAGATCTCAAACTTGATAATTGATGATTCTGCTTCCGACACAACAGTCTCCTCATTGCTTGAGAATGAAGAAACTCCCCTCGGATAATATACATTCAAGTTCAAGTGTTATCACAATAATGACACGAAAGCAAAGAAGTAAAACACGGGTAGGATAAAAATGTACACTGTCCCTATAAGGGAAAAACGGATCGTGGGAAAAAAGGAGTGTCAAGAAGAAGAAGAAGAAGAAGATCTCTTTGAAGACCAAGAGAATGGAAGAACATATTTGTTTTTTAAATGTTTGTTCCTCAAAAATTTTGTCTTTCTTCTTCTTCTTGTTCAATTTACAGTTTGTTGTAGAGGTGCTTTGAAAATAATAGGATCTGTTTGTGATGAATTCAAACTCCTGTTGAGCAGGGAGTCCTGTTGATCATACAAAGAAGTAGGTCAGTTTTGCAAATTAATTCTATGAATCGAAATAAAATTTTGAAAATGAGCCTTTGAATCTATATTGTTGATTTAATACCTAAAATAAATAGTTATAATTTAAATAAATTTAATAATAATGTTAATTTTTTGTTATTATTATATATATAAGCAGTGATTTTTTTTATTTATTATAAAAAATAATCGGTAATGGCATAATCATAATTTAGATTATGTTTTTAGTTATGTTTTACTTATTTAGTAGAATAATTAATAGTTGTAAATGCGTTCATTTTCTCTGCATCGATCTGATTTATAATACTATCGGAGTGAAATACGGGATCTAAAAAAAGTAGAGGCTAAATTATATTAGTAACAAGTAAACCGTGAAAAATTTCAATATATTTTTATTTTGGAAATTAAGAGTGTAAAATATAAAAATTTAATAAATTATATTAATTTTTGTTAAAAATTTGTAAAGTGCTTGAGTTAAAATATTTAGATAATATTAATTTATGAACTATATTAAATTTTTTATACATTTTTAAAATATTATATTATAAATTAATTATTTTTAAACTGAATACTTAATATTTTTTAATAAAAATATTGTGAATTTAATTTAAATTTTATATTTTACGTATTTTTTTCGTTTATATATTATAATTAATATATGTATATGTTACATAATTAAAAATATAGATAATTATATAACGAGGACACGTCAAACTTATTTGCTCGTTCTTTTACAAATAGATTAATTACGTCATCAACTTAAAAAATCCTTATCGCCCTAAAATTCAAGCAGTGGAACAAAATTGGGTGGTATACGAACCCGGAAGGAATAAATTGATAGCAAACTGCAAACTCAAAACGTCACCTTTGTACGGGAATTAGGGTTTCGCGGTTCACTGTGTTTGATTAGGTAAGCATTTTCATATTCACTATCTGTTCGTGGTTTTCGCATTCACTACCTGTTCTGTTCATCACCTCTATCGGCTTTTCTTTCTTTTGAAAATTACAGCCTTGAGTCACAAATGTTGTTGAGTTTTTGTTTTCGTTTCTTGTTTCCTCGACATAATTGAGTTGGAACTTTCGTTCTCTAGTTTTTTCTTTTCCCTATCTGTTTGCCGAGAAAATGGAGTTAAGAAATGAAAAAGGAAATAGGAAAAATTTGCCAGTTCTCGGATGAAGAAGCTTTTCGTTTCTGGTTTCTGATTCTTTTTCCTATACTTGGTATTTTGCCTGTCTTCTGGTATTCCGGGTTTAAGCATAAGGCTAAAGGAATTCCTGATGCATGGATGCTTAGGTGTGAAGGAGAAAAGAGAATTATGGATATTTCAGATGATGAGGAAGATTCTATGCTCACTGTCGGGTTACAAATTACTACTTCTTAGATGATGAGGAGCAGCCTGTTTCATTCTCGGTTCTGCCCGTTCAATGGAGTGAAGGTGAGAATAAGGATGGGGAGGAAAAGGTTATATTCTTGGATGGAACTGCTGACAACGGGCTTCAAAAGATATACAAGCATGTCAAAGCATGGAGATTTGACCTTTGCGGAGTGAAACCTGAGATATCAGTGCTAACCAAGGAAGATTCTTGGGTTAAGCTTCAAAAGCCAAAGAAAAGCTATGAGGATTTAATCAGAACAGTTCTGATAACTGTCCATTCCCTTAGTTTACTAAAGTCTAATCCAGAAATGCCAGGAAAATCTCTTTGGGATAATTTATCCAGGGCATTTAGGTATATGCTTGTGAAAATTTTCAGATGTCATTTGTAAAATTTTCTTATCAATATAATTCTAAATCATAATCTAATTATTTCATTTGCAGTTTGTATGAGCCAACGCCATCACAAAATGACTTGATTGACCACATGGATCTAATCAGTGAAGCGGTTAAACGAGATGATTCTTTAGCAAAGTCCAAGGTTAGTAGTTTGAGCTTTTCTAAATATTGTTAATAAATTAATGCTTAGAATTCATAATATTCATTAAAGTGGTAACAGTAGTTACTTGGAATCATCCTTTTCTTTTGCTATCTACACACCCACAATGACAAATCTTTGGTGTGACCAGTTTCTACTCCGATTTCTTGAGGAGAAGCCCAAAAAAAATAAACTGCTGGATCAGGTTGTACTCTACCTTATGTTTCTATCTTTTCCTCTTTAACAATTTTCTTTTGCATTACATTTCTGAGTCATTATTTAGTTGGGCAAGCTAACTGTTTTTCATTCTTCTCGTCAGGTTCCAAGTAGAGACACATCCGAGTTCATAGTTGATGATATAGATGAGGGGCAAACTGAAGATGTCGAGGATGATGGTTCTGATGATGAGGATTATTTTGATACTGTTTGTGCAATATGCGATAATGGTGGAAATATCCTATGGTACATTTTTTTTAACTCTTTGTTATTAATAGGAAAGTTTATAAGCATACTTTTTTCTCTACTATCAGGGGAAATTCTTATGGTTCCTCGGAGGAGGCGCCACAATAATGGCATCCCATCGTCAATATTCATCATTTCTATTCGTATCTTTAGAAACTTTATGGTGACTCGGATATCTCATGTCCACAATGAATTTATGTAGTTATACCTTTTTAACATTTCACAGTAATGTTAGATTACATTGTGCAATACTTTACCGATTACATAAAATACATAATGTTACTGAGTTACTACATAGTGTTATCTAATTACTATACTATGTTATCAAATTCTTGAAAAACAATAAACCAGAAAATGAAGTATAGTGTCTTTTGGGACCATAGTAGTACTCTATATCCTTTTGTTGACCAAGGACCTAGCGCTACATTGGTGAAGTGAGTGCTAGCTTTATTATTGTGA